AAAAAAAAAAAAAAACAAAGGGTGCTGGTGGGGCGGTGGGGGTCACAGTTCCCATTTGCTCATGCTTTCTGTACAATTCTAATGCTCCTGAGACCCCAGGTTTACCAACAATATTCACATTCCTGAAACTTGTTGTATCAACTCTCACTCCCCCCCTGCAAAACATACTTTGCACACAATCTCACGTACATTTAAGCTTAGTTTACAAACAATTCTGACCCTGCTGCTCTGTGTGCTTGGCAGGATGCTCCTAGGGCGCACTTCCCTTCCACCACTCACCTCGGGGCAGGAAATGCAGCAGCAGGCCCTGGGCCAGCATCATCTGCCCACTGCGCAGCATGCATCCCCAGCCACAGTCTGAGGTTAGGCCACCTCCGGCCAGGGGCGGGAAGTCCCGGCGGTATGTGAGCCACAGGCGGGACGCGAAGTCCCGCTGGAAACGCTGGATGTCACCTACAAGAGCAGGCTTGTCAGCTGCCACCAGGCACACCAGGCCCCCCTCAACCCCAGCCTGGGGCCACCGGCTCACCCTCGCCCTCGAAGCGGTAGCGGCGGCCACAGAGGTGGACGCTGGAGATCTTGCTAAAGCTGGTCCGGCTTTTGACTGCCCAACCTGGGGAGACGCGGGGCAGCACCCAGCCAGATGAAGCGCTGGCTCGACAGACATGTAACACAACAGTTACGACAGCAGCAGCGCTTCCATCCCCCACCCCGGTCTGTGAAGCAGACACCATCCCAGGTCCCATCTCAGGGCTGGCCCTGGGCAATCCATGCCGGATTCCCCTCCGATGGAGGCAGGGACCCTCGTAACGGCCACGTGAGTGTTTGCCATCAATTCAGGATGAATAAAGCAGTTCTGATGATTGCATCCGTTTTACAGAGGGGAAAAATGAAGGCACAGAAAAGCAAAACACCTTGCCCAAGGTCACCCGGGAGTGGCTGAGACTTGAAAACACATTCCTTTTTGGACCTGCTGCAGGTCCGCCCGGGGCAGGGCAGGGCGGGGGACCCACAGGTGACTCACAGGAGGAGAGCAAATGGTGGAATGCTCGGCAGGGCCAGGGTCTGGCTCCCCTCGCCCCCCACCCCCTGCCTGGCCGAGCCCTCGGCCCGCTCCTATCTCAGAACACAAGCCCCGGGCCCGCCCCCTCCTCACCGTACTTGACGTTGTTCCAGGCCGTCAGGAACTTCGCCTTAAACTTGTCCACTTCGTCCGGCTCCCCGGGGGCGGCCGCGGGCGAGCCAAGAGCGGGGCCGCTGGCTCCAGAGGGCCTCAGGCCGTTAGGGTCGGGGACTCGGGGGCCCCGCGGCCTGCGGCCCTCGGGGCGGCGCGCGTCCTCCGGGCTC